CGCCCCCTCAGCAGCACTAAGGATATCCGATTGCAGCTTAGGCCTGCTCCCCGCTGGCAAGTGGACATCCCCCGAGGGCTGCCGGGCTGCCAGAGGGATGTCTGACTGCCAGCTTGGGCCCAGTCCTCTAGGGAACGGGCCTAAGCCAGCCGGTGGACATCCTCGAGGAGTCCCAGACTGCAAGAGGGCATAGGCCGGGCTGAGGGACACCCCCGAGTGCACAAATTTTTGAGCACCGGGCCTGTAGTATATATATAAATACATGGAAATAAATTGCGTCTGTAACGTTTACAGTCATGGCTCTCGGGGCGGACAGGCCTGTGGAGGCCCGTGGAGCTGCGATGTGAGCCCCTGGTGGGTGCAGCCACTGCCTGGGGGAGCTAGGAGAGGATGCATGTGGGCACAGGACCCAAGCCTGCATGGCGTCAGGAGGCTGACTGCTAAGCCACTTGTGAACGAGACCCCCACGCCTGCGTCTCACCTCCTCGATTTTCCTGCGCAGCCCCAGTTTCCTGCGCACGTGGTCCCAGTGCCGCCGGTCCTCCCGGTCCATCCAGAGCCGGCGCTGCTCCTCCGCCCGGCGCTCCCGGTACTCCAGCTCTCGGTTGATCATGTCCAGGTACCTGCAGTGCAGGCGCGGGTGAGCGGCTCCCCCCACCCCTGCCCCCCCCACTCCCCGTAGGCACCAGTGTCTGCTGCGGACAGGACCATGGTTAGAGGGGGAGCAGACACCGTAAAACCATGGGGCACTGTGTTATTCCCAACTCAGCGGCTCTAAGGGTCTGCATTTGCAAAGAAGGCTGAAATAACCGAGAGCTTGATTTCAAACAGAGAAAAAAAGATCCATGTTTCCTAAGAAAAAGTTGTATCCCGGGTCCCCAGGGACTTACAAAGCCTTGAACATCTGGAGTCCAGCCTCAGGTATGTCATATGCTTACAGAACCACCACAAAATAAATCCAGGCCACATGAAAGTCAGGCTGTGCCACCCAACCCCTCACCTTCATAGAGGAGGAGAGGGGAGGATAAAGCCCTTCCCACAAACGATAAAGCCCTTTCACTTCCTCAGCTACGGGCTGGGCCCAGAATGGCAAAGGTGAGACACGAGGAGGGACCTGAGCGCTCACACAGTCTCTTTTAGGGACGGGGCATCTCTATATCAGCATTAAGGACAGTTTAATCCACCTCCATTTTTGACTTTGCACTAACGTCCTCAGGTTCGTGCGGTCGGCCCTTAAAGATGAGTCATAAAAAGCTGCTGCCAGCGGCTAAGTGTGCTCAGAGGTCTTTCCCTCCAGCTGCAGCAGGGACTCTGAGTCGGAGTCTCTCCTGCCCTCAGTGTGGACTACCTCTTGGATTCCCAGAAGCCCTAGCGTTTCTGCTGGAAATTGCGCTTCCTTCCCTGGGCATCCACGTTCCCGATTTCTGTGCCACTTGGTCTCCCTGCCTCTCTATACTGAGGGCAATAGTGGCGTTAAATCATGTCGGCTGCGTTAAAACATGCCCAACTCCAGTTCCTTCTGCGTTAAAACATGCCCAACTCCAGTTCCTTCTACTGCGTTAAAACATGCCCAACTCCAGTTCCTTCTGCTGCGTTAAAACATGCCCAACTCCAGTTCCTTCTGCGTTAAAACATGCCCAACTCCAGTTCCTTCTACTGCGTTAAAACATGCCCAACTCCAGTTCCTTCTGCGTTAAAACATGCCCAACTCCAGTTCCTTCTGCGTTAAAACATGCCCAACTCCAGTTCTTTCTAGTATTTTCCCAGCTTATTGGCGTGGACGGTGCACACACACACCGGGCCTCCCCTCGAGCCCTACCTGTGCCGTATGAGTCGCTCCTGGTCCCTGAAAGATGGGACGCGGTCCATGAGCATCCAGTTTTGGAACTGGGTAACTTCAGGACGTCCAGGTAGCTGGTTGTTGTCTTGTAGTCGATTGACTTGCCTTGTAAGCATTTTCTATTAAAATAAAAGTGTGCATCGTGCACATACGCTTATCTCTGTGTATATACAGGGTAAAGTTTACCAGAAATAGGACGTCCCATTGATACGCCTTTTTCTATTTAGTGTTCAGTGTACTTTCTGAAGAGCTAATTCCGTTGAACGCCATCTCAGTGTATCTTGCATCCATTACAGACGCGGGAAACTGAACCAAAGGAAACGTTTCTCCCTGAGAAGGGGAGACAAAGATCATCCCTTTCCAGCCACTCGCTCGATGCCTGGGGAGCGGGCTCGTAGCCTCCCTGTCAGGGCCAGTTGAGGAGTATTCGTCTTTCCTTCAGGCTTTATTTCCGGGGGTGAGACCTCCCTGCTCCTACTGTTGCCAAAGAAGCCAGGAGGCTCACAGTCAGGGTGGAAGGGCAGCCAGGGGACCTGGGGCCTCGCCCGCCGCTCACACTAACACTGAACCCTCCCAGGGCACTGGTTACCAGTGGGGCCCGTGGGGGCTCTCCCTGCCCCGCCCACCAAAGACCAGAACCTGGCCGGGCCCCTCACCTCCTCCCCCAGGCTACTGGTGGCCGTCTTGATAGAGTCAGCCTTGGCCTTCTTGGAGCAGAAGTTGAGGTACAGCTCCATCGTAGCTGGCACCTCCCCTCCTAGTCCGTGGTCCTGATGGGACCTGATATGGCCAGGGCCCCCGTCTCCAAGACCCCACTGTTGCAGAGTTCCAAGTCGGAATGTGGGGGCCCCAGAGGGCAGAGCCCTGAGCGGGCTGGTCCCTCTGGCTTGAGGCTTGAGCACCCAGAGTTGGGGAAATCAGTCCTAGGCCTGGTCTGAGAGGCCCAGAGTTGAAATATCATTTCTTTCTGAAACCAACACCAGGCAGATGAAACTTAATTGCTTTGGCCTCTTTGTCAGAAACAAGGGATGCTCCACTTACAGGGACCCCCATGTCTGCCTTTTCCCTTCCATATAGTTACATCTTCATTATTTTCTGTCATTAATGACTCACAGCTTACATCGCAGAGAGCGTGAGCATCTTCTGCTGGACTCTTCCCCGGGCGTTTTACATTCTGTGTATAACAATGGCAATTCAACACCAGTTGTTAAAAATAGGACTGATCTGATTTTGCTATTTTATCCTTTTATTCTTGAACTTTGCCATACTCATTTACAAATTTTAATAATTTCTTTTAGATTCCATGGAAGTTTTTGTTGAAACAACTGTACTTTCTATAAAAGGTTTCCTCCTTGCTTTCCTGTCTCTCTCAGATTTTGGCTTCCTGCAAAGGCTGGGCCGACGCCCGGGAGGAGAGCTGGGAGTGGGAGTCACTACCCTTTTCCTGATGACACGGCAAAGAGCCAGGCTTCCTTCACGAGGAAGATCCGGGCTGTGGCTGTCCTTAGATTCAGTTCATCAGGCTGGGACGGGGTCTCTTACCGTCTACCCGCTTTCTGAGGTGCGGTAGGCATTTAAGACCTGCACGCACGTAATGTGTATAATCCCTATGATGGGATTGGCCATAGGCAAGCACCTCTGATCCGTCACCACAGTCAAGGGGACGATACATAGCTAACGTCTCCCAGACTCTTTTGGGTTTCTCTTTACTTTTTCATTTTGCAGTAAGAACACTGAGAGCGCTGGTTGTTTAACACATTCTGAGTGAACAACACTGTATTGTTGGGCTGTATTTCCTTGGGTGAGAACTGCCTACCCCAGCTGTAAACAAAGGAAGTGAAGAGCCACACAGCCAGGGTTGAAGGGCCCCCCCTGCAGACAGCACAGAGGACCTGGGGTCCCCCACCGGCCAGTGGCAGCTGACACTGAGCCCCCCAGGGCGCCCCAAGTGCCTGGTTACCACGTGGGGTCTGTGGGGGGTTCTCCCTGCCCTGTCCACCAAAGACCAGGACCCTGGCCCTGCCCTCACCTCGTCACCCAGGCTGCTGGCAGCCGTCTTGGTGGAGGTAGCCCTGGCCGCCTTGGAGCAGGAGCTGAAGTACAGCTCCATCGTCGCCTGGCCCTTCGCTTCCCGTCCCTTGTCCCGATGGGACCAGGAGTGGCAGGACCCCCGTCTCCAAGACCTCACCATGGCAGAGTTCCAATCAGAATATGGGGGCCCTGACGGGCAGAACCCTCAGGGGTTGGCCCCCTCTAGCTTGAGGCCTGAGCTCCCAGAGTTGGGGAAATCGGTCAGTTCCAGAGCCTGGTCTAAGGGTCCCACAGTCGAAATAGCCTTTCTCTCTGAAACCAACACCAAACCAGCAGGCCAGCCAAACCCCGAATCACGACATATATGGCTTTGCTGGTGCATAGCTGGCTAGTTTCTTCTGGCCTCCAAAGAGCTGTGAGTCCAGAAAACAAAACAAACAAAACAAAAGCCCCAGGAGTGATTGTACTGCCTGTTCCAAGGCTAGAGGCCTGGCCGCCCCCTGTGCCCCACAGACTATGAGCCCACCCCACCCCAGGCTCCCCCAGCCCCTCCCCATGTAGATCTTCATAACATACTTGGGCTCCCTTATGGGAATGTTGCCTTCCGCCTCCCCTCCTCCTCCAGTAGTTTCCCTCTTTTCCTTCTAGCTCTCTTCTCTCTTCTACTCCCCCCTCTCAGTCTCCTTTCTTTCTCCTCTCAGCCATTTGGCCAGAACTTATACTAGGCCTGACTCCCTTGGCCAGTCATTGAGTTGGGCAGGGACTGAAATACGACCCTTTTCTCCTAGGAGCTATGTAGGCAGTAAGGACATCGAGGGTTCCTGATTCAGGAATTTGGATTTAGCCTCGTGGATTCCTTAGCCTTGCTGTTCCCTGTGATTCCTGGGCCATTTAGTAATGATACCTACCATTTCTTGAGAATATACTAACTCCAGACACTGGGCTAAGTACCACATTGAATCTTGGTCACAGCCTTGCGGATAATCACCCTTTTCTATTCAAAGATTAAAGACGAATCGTAGTCACTGTTGTGTGGAGCCCCCAGAGGCAGTGTCCTGCTTTGTTGTGATGCTGCTCACACGCTCAGGACGCCTAAGTTGGGAGTCTAACCTGGGGAGAGAGTCCACCCTCGCTCCCCACATGGCTGGGCCACAACCCTCTGAAACTCGGGTCCTCAACTCTCAACCCACACTCTCCACCTCAACAGACAACACATGGCCCATTCTTCCTGCATTTCCCGTCTCCGTGGGGATACCAGTATCCACCCTTCACAGCTGCGAGGTGCTCCTCGGTACTTTCCCTCCCCTCCTCCCCACAGTCATGTGATCTCAGTCCTACTGATTTCATCACTGAAATTATTGGTCCTTTCTCACCCATCTCTACAGCACTCCCCAGGCCATCGGCTTATCTCTGTTTTTTTGGTCTGATTTCCACAGCCTCAGAACAAACCTTTATTCCCAACAGTCCATCTCTTACCAAGTTCGCCTTTGCTGCCGTTTCTCTACCCGCATTAGATTCCTGATTCCTCCCAGGAAGACTGAACACACAGCACGTAGCAGCCTCTGTGACTCGGTCCCGTGTTGGTTTCTCGTTGCTGCCGGAACACCTGGCCCCAGTCTTAGTGGCTTACACAGCACCGAGGTGTGACCGTGGCATAGGTGAGGTCAGCGGTCTGAAATGAGTCCACGGTGATGAAATCAAGGTGCCAGCAAGTCTGCCTCTTTCTGGAGTCTGTAGGGCACAGTCTACATCCTTGTTCCTTCTGCTTCCAGAAGCTTCCCTATGCTCCCACCTCAGATCCAGCACGTTGCACCCTCAGACCGCCCTCCGCCTCAGACCTCTGCTTCCCTCTCCTGCCATGAAGAGTCTTTGGATGACGCTGGGCCCATTGCCAGGGCCCAGGAGATGTCCTGGTTCCGAGGTCAGGTGATTGGCAGCCTCCATGCCATCAGCAGCCTTGACTGTCCAGTGCGATGGGACAGAACAGTCACAGGTCTTGGCAATGAGGATAGACAACTCTAAATCTTGCAATTTGTGACAACATGATAGGCCTAGAGGGTACTGTGCTAAGTGAAATATTCTAGACAGAGAAAGACAAATACCACATGATTTCACTTACATGTAGAATCTAATGAACAAAATAAACTGACAAACAAAATAGACACAGAGGGATGGATACATGGGATAGACTGACAGAGATCATAGGAGTAGGGGATGAGGGGCCTGTATGAAAGAAGTTGAAGAGATTTGCCAAAGAACATATATGCATAGCCCATGGGTGGAGGTGGGTAAAGGCGGGGAAATGAGAGACATCTGTAATAGTGTCAACAATAACATAAAATACATTTAAAAAGAATATAGAAAGTTTCCACAAACATGGTATTGGTTCCAGCACTGCCTAACACAGTAGCTCAGAGCAAGCCGCCTAAACCAGCATCATCCTTTGTCCTGTCGTTCTGAAGGCAGGTCGTGTGAGATCAGGCCTGCAGGCCGGGTCTCTGAAACCCACAGGGGGCTCTCTGCCTGTCCCTGGCTCTGGTGGTGGGGCGCCTGCATGGTGCTAGTGTCCCCTCTGTCCCAGCTCTCGGGCCTCCGATTTCTGCGTAGACCGGCCAGGCTGCTGTTTCTGTGTCTCAGGGGGGAGGTGTGGCGGCTGAGGAAGGTGCCTCTTGGTAGGCGAGACGTGGTAGGATTCTGGGTACATGTTTGGTTCGAGTCAGTGGATTTCCTGACTAATGTGATATAAGGCGTGTAAGAGAGAAATAAAGGCGCTGCCGGCGTGGCTCAGGGGTTGAGCGTTGACCTATGAACTGTGAGGTCAGGATTCGATTCCCGGTCGGGGCACAGGCCCGGGTTGCGGGCTCCATCTCCAGTGTGGGGTGTGCAGGAGGCGGCCAATCCATGATTCTCTCTCATCATTGATGTTTCTATCTCTCTCCCTTCCTCTCTGAAATCAATAAAAATGTATTTACGAGAGAGAGAGAGAGAGAGAGAGAGAGAGAAGGGTTAGGGATGACATCAAGGCTTTTGGCCAGACCCTGTGAGAACAATGGGATTGCATGCATGTGGGGGCACAGTGGAGGGCAGAGATTGGACATGTTGGGTTTGGCCTGTGGGTTGACGTCCAGCTGGGGATCAGCGCCCACGCGTGACCTGAGGAAGCAGGATTCGGGCAGGAGGTCGGGGAGGCAGGTGGTGTTCCAGAGCCTCGAGGCCCGGGGTGTGTCTGCAGCAGGGGCATTGCTCGCTGGCAGCACGGGCTGCCCTTTGCAGTCCGGGGAGCGCACCGCAGCCTCCATTCTCCCGCCTCTGGGCTCGCCCTCCTGCCTCTTACCTGTGCGCTGAGGGGTGACGCCTTGCTCATGGGGTCTCTCTCTCCCCGGGTGGTTCCATTCGGCCGCTGTTCAAGCTCTGCAGCTGTGCCTGGGCCACCATGTTAGCATCTCGCTCAAAACCTTCGTCTCTGAACTTAAAACTCTCCTTTGTTCTAGTTCCTCTGTGTCCTCAGCCCCATGCTTCATTTTTTGTTTTGACTTTTACATGTAACTTATTACTGTTTCGCACATCAGCCCGAGAACAGGGTTCGAACCGCACGCCAGGTTCAGAGTCCATTCCGATGGCCAGATGGACTGTAGGGTCACATCAACACTCCTGACGCAGATCTGAGTTTTGTTCAGAAAAGAAATGCAGATACACGAATAACACCCTTGTGGCTCTTAGAGAGAAAATCAATAAAAATAAGAAGGAGTGGAAGCACATTTTAACGTGGTCATTGTGAGCTGTTAGAAAGAATGCAATAAAAAGCATTGCTTCTGATGAGCAATTTCCCTTAGTCAGGTAATTTAAAAACACATGTAAATGTAAGCCAGACTTAAGAAGTTACAATGAAATATGTCCTATCTGTTCACACTCAGAAAAAATAAGTCATGTACAACTAACTCGTGTTATGGAGCTGCAGATCTCTACTAAGGAATTGGGAATAGTTGAATAGACAATGGATGTTATTAAAAGATAGGGCCCTAACCAGTTTGGCTCAGTGGATAGAGTGTCGGCCTGCAGACTGAATGGTCCCAGGTTCCATTCCGGTCAAGGGCATGTACCTTGGTTGCAGGCGCATCCCCGGTAGGGGGTGTGCAGGAGGCAGCTGATCGATGTTTCTCTCTCATTGACGTTTCTAACTCTCTATCCCTCTCCCTTCCTCTCTGTAAAAAATCAATAAAATATATTAAAAAAAATATGGCATGAGTGGGGGGGGGATGGAGGTTTAATGGGGGGGATGAGGTCACATTTGTAATACCTTAACGAATAAAGAATTAAAAAAAAAATCTGGCATGGTATGTTATTTAAAAATGTTTGGTTTTCCATGCTTTTTGGGGAAGAGAGATAGATGTAAGATGAATACTAATAAAATTTATTCCTATTAAACTATTTATTAGTGCATTCATATTTTTACAGATTAGTAAACGTTATGTATATAATACATACAACTTGTATTTTTATATATGTATGTATAGACAGATAGACAGAGATATAAAACCAACATCTAATACTTCAGATTCATACCTTTCACTTTTCCTCCCCTGCATCAGTTTTTCAGTCATTGAGAAGGGGGAGGAGAGTCTATTTTCACTATTATTTAAAAAATGTATTTTTATTGATTACAGAGAGGAAGAGAGAGACAGAAACATCAATGATGAGAGAGAATCATTGACCAGCTGCCTCCTGCATGCCCCCTGGGGATCGAGCCCACACCCAGGCCTGTGCCCTGACTGGGAATCGAACCCTGACCTCCTGGTTTGTGGGTTGAAGCTCACCCACTGAGCCACACAGGCCTATTTTCACTCTTCCTGAAACTGTGAGAGTGCTGACCCCCCCCGCCCGCCCCCGCTCCAGCTCTAGTCGCCCGTGATCTGCAGGGACCTGAGTGTGTGAGCCAAACCGTCCGGCAGAAACACTTCCAAACTGTTCCCTAAGCGAACCGTGACGGAGAATAACGGTTATTGTAGGTGCTGGCTGCGTGTGTCGGTGACAAAGCAGTAGCTGACTACAAGCACCATGCGGGCTCCCACCAGGGTCCCT